TCCCTAGATCACTCCAGGCCCAGAGGTAACTCCATAAAAAGGATCTGATTTGAATCAGAGTCTGATCAAAGCCTTAAAACAAGAAGGGGCAAAATGCTCACTTTGCCAGCATCAGGACCTGAGTGCCATCCTCAAAACCCACATTTTTAAAAAGGCCAGATGTAGTGCACACACTTGTAATCCTGGGACCCGGAAAGTGGACACAAGCAGGTTTCCAGGGCTCACTGGCTGGCTGGTGTGTGGTCCTTCCTCCATACACACCTACAAACATGGATTATGTACCTTTTATTATTTAAAAATATTTAAATATTGTTATGTACGTGTGCGTGTGTGTTTGTGAGTAGGTATATACGTGTGTGTGGGGGGGGGGTACAGGTAGTGGTCAGAAAGAAGGCATTCGATTCCCTGGAGCTGGAGTTACAGGCAGTTTTGAGCCACCCAGTAGGAGTCCTGGGATGCAGGCTCATCTTCTGGAAGAGCATCAAGTGCCTGTAACTGCTGAGTCATCTGTTCAGCCCCATGTGTATGTTTTAAATGATGATATCACAATATATATTTTTTATCCATGGGATAAATATCCACATCAGTGATTCAGACGAGGAACCAGAGAGGGAACCCTACCTCCTTCAGAAGGTGGACCTGAGGAGGCATGCTCCTGTAGACTTAGAAGACTTAGAAGGACACAGAAAGCGGTCCTCGGACTATAGAGCATGAAAGGAAATGCATGCTCTCAGCAGATGTGCATGAGAAAGTCCTGTCCCACACTATAACCTACCTGAGGCTCACCAGTTTTATTCATGACTGCCAATCTTGTAATAACTGCTGGTGGTTCAAGGTCACCCGGATGGACACAGTGGACAGAAACAGGTTCTGAGCCCAAGCCCTGGGAGCCAGGGTGTACCCCAGTTTCTGGGCTCTGCTATGCAGATAGCATCTCTTTCAGCATGCATTTGCCACCCGAGCAATAGTGTGGAAGTATTTTTGACATCGTAACTGTTCCTTCAATCTGTACAGTTTTTCATTTATCTTTTCTATACTGACTACAAGGTTGTTTGCATGTATGTCTATGTCGTATGTGTATATATACATGTGTGTTCAGGTGTGTGTGTGTGTGTGTGTGTGTGTGTGTGTGTGTGCATGTGGAGGCCAGAATTTGATATCAGAAATCTTCCTCAGTCATTTTCCACCTCATTTATGTTTTTACTTTCAAATTCAATTAATTTTAAAAATAGTGTGTGTGTTTGCACATGCTCAGTGATCACTGAAGTAAGAAGGTATAAGAATTTGAGACATAGGAAGTTGTAAGCTGCCCAACATGGGTGCTAGGAACTGAACTTGGGTCCTCTGCAAGAGCAGTGTATAATTTTAGCCACTGAGCCATCTCTCCAAATCTTTGACGTTATTTGTTTGAGACAGGATCTCACTGAACTTGGAGCTCAGTGACTGTTTAGCCTGGCTGGCTAGTGAGCCCTAGAGATTTTCCGGTGTCCACCTCCCCAGCACTGAGATAACAGAAATGGGCCACCGCACCTTGCTGGTTTTGTTGCCTCCCGCCCGCCCGCCCGCCTTCCTCCCTTCCTTCCTTCTTTCTATTTTAATGTGACTGCTAAGGATTAAACTTGGGTTTTTTACCCAGTAAACACTTTACCCATCACCTCTCCAAGTCCTGAAGAGTTCTTCTGTCAGGCTATGTAGTAGGACAGGCCCATAGGGTCGAGAAAATTGACTCAAACCAGTTGCCAAGGCATGCACATAATGTACTTCCTTATGAGCCAACCTGGAGTCTGCCTGAGGGCCTAGCAACAGGAGCTGTCAGAGTTCCTGATTGTGCCCAGCCAATGAGGGATGGCCATGCAATGTCACACAGCCTAGGTGCTGAGAGGAGGGTATATAAGGCTTTCCCCATTATGGACTCCCAGTGTCTGTATCATTGATGCCACGCCTTCTCACCCCCCCTCCCCTGAGTGAGCCATCAGGATCCAGCAACAAGGCCAGCAACTTTTTATGTGTCATTGAACATACTCAACATACGTATTCATAGTTTGTTATTTTTCCTTTAGGTCTGTGTCTTATTTAGGGTTTACACTGCTGTGATGAAGACCATGACCATAAGCAAATTGGGGAGAAAGGAGGTTATTTTGGCTTATAGTTTCACATCACAGTCCATCATTGACAGAAGTCATGTCAGGAACTCAAACTGGGCAGGAACTTGAGGTAAAGGCTGAAGCAGAGATCAAGGAGTCCTACTTACTGGCTTGCTCAGTCTGTACCCAGCACCACCAGCCCAGGGGTGACACCATTCATGGTGAACTGGGCCCTCCCACATTAATTATCAATTAAGAAAATGTATTGCAGGCTTGCCCAGAGGCCACTGCTGGGGGCATTTTCTCACTGGAGGCTCTTGTTTCCCTGAATGACTTTATGTCAAGTTGACATAAAACTAGCCAACACAGTCTCTTTACCATTTTTAGGATCATATTATACATTTCCCCCTCTATACCCTCTCCTCTGAGGTCATGAACTCACATTTTTATTAGATGACAAGATGGCACTTGCTCCAACCTGAAGTCCTAAGTTCCATTCCCTGGGGCCCACATGGTGGGAGGAGAGAACCAACTTCCACAGGTTGTCCTCTGACCTCCATATGCTTACCACAGTGCATACCACTGCACCCCCCTCGCACACGAACACACTTACATAGATGCATACAAAAAAAAGCATAAGAATTTTTTTTGAGACAGGGTCTCACTATGTAGCTCTGGCTATCCTGGAACTCACTCTGTAGACCAGGCTGGTCACTAACTCACAGAGATCCACCTGCCTCTGCCTCCCAAGTGCTAGGATTAAAGGTGTGTATCCCAATACCTAGCAAGTAAAAATACTTTAAAATTATTTTTAAATTGTGACATTAATTCATCTAGAATTTCTTTTTAAATAGAGACTGAGTTAAAGATTTAAAATTTATTTCCTAGAAACTCACATAGTTTTGGCTAATTCATTTCTCCTTTGTTCATTTGCAAGATGTCAACTTTATTATCTCAAAGTCTATCTCCTGAGTCCTTGAGCGTTCTGTCTTCCTTCAGCAGGAGTGTGTCGTCGTCCTCCAAACCCAAACACAACAAAAATTTTACATTGCTTTTCACTGAGCTACTTGTCCACTACCACATCAATACCAGTCTATAACGTTCATTTCGGTGCTGACTTTTAAAGCAAGCCAGCCTTCCTTCCCCCAGGCTCTAGAAGTCTCAATTAGACAAGTGCCCCCCTGCTATAAAAGCAGCATTTGATACACCAAGTGTCAAGTTAAAAAACCATTTCTCACTGGGACAAAATAAACATTCAATACTCATTTGGTGGATGACTTTTTCCAAATAGCAAAAACATTAATTTATTATTTATTTATTTATTTATTTATTTATTTATTTATTTATTTATTTATAGGCAGGCTCTCAGCAGATAGTCTAGATTGGTCTTGCACTTGCTATATAACCCAGGATGACCTGAAATGCACGGCCGTCCAGCCTCAGCCTCCCCTGTGCCAGGACTAAAGGCATGTACCACCATGCCCAGAAAGAAGCCATTATAACTGTCCCAAATTTGATTTTACTTCCAGGGAACTTGATCCTGGATGAAGTTACAGAAAATAATATAAGCATCAGAGAATACAATTCCTGTGCACAATGCAGAGACAGAAAAATGATTTTTAATTTCATATAACAATAAATCTACTGCATTCATAATATGAACAGGCACTAATTACAGCAAATTGTGTAAACTTAACACAGATATCAAGTTTATGATTTCATAACCCACCATTTATTTATTTGTGTCTCTGTGTGTGTCTGTGTCTGTCACTGTGTCTGTGTGTGCAAGTGCCCACGCAGATGCAAGAGTTGATGTGTGAAGAGGCCAAAAGAGGACATCAGTGGTCCTGCTTGCCATCTTATTCCCTTGAGGCAGTGTCTCTCACCGAACCCGTAGCTAGGCGCAGCCAGCAAGCATGAGAGACCCTCCCATCTCCACGCCCCACACTGCTGTGGTTACAGGTACTTACACAGCCACACTCCCCTTTTTTACAGGGGTGCTGGGGATCAAACTCAGGTCCTCACGCTTGCACAGCAAGCTCACCTACCCACGGAACCATCTCCCCAGCCCTTTGACCTATTATTTTAAATCCTGTTTCCATGGAAAGATCACTGTCAGGAATTCACATAAACCATGTGAATCCTTCAAAAGTGGATTCCTGGCACACAGTGAAAGCGGCTCAACTGAACACCTGTCCAAAATGGCAACAACAAAACCGTACGGCTTCCCAGTGTACCCTCACTGTCCACGTCTCTTACCCACTGTACACGGGGACTGACAGAGGAAGTGTGCACTGGGACACTAGCTTGCTCTCAGAGCACAGAGGTGTGTCACAGGCAGCAAGTGCCTTCTGCTTAGAACTCCTGCTCATATTCATGCACATACTGAAGGCCTAAGTAGACTAACACTGACATCTAATGGCCACACAGCATTTCTTTCAAATGGAACTGAACGCACATTCCAAGTTGAAAGGCTAAATCAGGTCATTTTCCCACTGTACACACCAGGCTTATAGTTTAAATTCCACGGCTTAGCTGGCCCTGAGAGTCTTGAGTGACTGTCAGAAGTTACACTGCGGGCTGTACAAACAACATCTCATTTCATTATTCTACATTAGTTCCACTAGGTCCATTTCTCTCCAACTGTGCTGATGACAGTCGGCAGTTAGTGAACTAATAGCCTGTCAATCATTTACAATGACCCTCACCAGAGTTCGGAACAAACCTGCAAAGAACTCTTTGCATTCTGCACGTATGCAGAGCGAACCCCAGTGCCCTGGGTCAGATGATCAGCACGCACAGCATTCTCAGCACAGAGGCTTTACTTTGGGAAGATTCTCAGACACTTTCATCCAGGGGCCCTCGCACACAGGCCGGGAAGCCCCGTGCCCCTCCATCCACCCCAGCCCTTCTTACCTACTCCTGAGTCCTTGAGCGTTCTGTCTTCCTTCAGCAGGAGTGTGTCGTCGTCCTCCAAACCCAACACAAGCTCATTTGTCTAGAAAGAAAGAACCCCCACTTGATCAGGACACTTGGCCAAGATGTCGCAAAGACCTGAGAGTGGTACTTGGAGGGGCTGGGAAACAGATGAGTCAGCAGTGTTCGCCCTGCAAGTACGAGGACCTGCGTTTGGAACCCCGTGCCATGCAATCTCAGTGTTGGGGAGGTGGAGACAGGAGGACCTCTGGAGCTCACTGACCGGCCAGCCTAATCAATCAGCAAGTCCCAGGCCCAGTGAGAGACCCTGTCTCAAAGAGGAATGTGGATGGGACTGGAGAGATGACTCAGAGGTTAGAGCTTGCTGCTCTATCATGAAGACTGGAGTTTAGATCCCAGCACCCACGTCAGACAGCTCACAACACCAGTAACTCTAGCTTCAGAGGATCCAAGACTCTTCTGCACTCTACAGGCACCCTCCACACACACTTACACATACATATGCCCACATGGACACACGCAAATAACCAACAAAGAAATATTTTAAAAAGTAAAGTGGACAATAGAGGAAGACACCCAACACTAACTTCTGGCTTCCATATCCATGCACACATATATGCACCCAGCATGTACATGGGTACACACCTATACCCCCCCCACACACACACACACACAGAGCTGTTACATGGAGTCTCAGCAATAATCTAAGTCATGTTAAATTCTGCTATGGTAAGGAGATAACAGAGAAGATGCAGAATGTAGACCTACTAAGTGCTAACACTGTACGCTACATTGTAGACAGTGCTACAAAGAGGCTTTGGAATCAAACTAGGGTTCCAAGGCACGTTCCCTTGGTGCCCAGCTCTGTGCGCTCAACACTGCAAACTTCTCCAAGCTTTAGTTACCTTGCAGCTACAGAAGGAGAAGTGAGTGCAGCTCCCCTTTTCTTTCCCTAGTACTGAGGAGGATGTGTGATGATCCGATGACCAGTCCGGACCCTCAGCACTGAGTAGGCCCTCTACGTCTGCTCTCACCGTGCTGCGTCATCATCACAAGAACCTGGGAGGAACTGCAAAAATGTAGGCCTGGGGCGTGTGGCTCATCAGAGGTGGAACTGAAGACGCACTCTTGACAAAATGTGACTTCTCAGAGGAGCAACTTGGCCTTCAGTGGCCCTGAGGGCACATATCTAAAAACCTCGCCCAAGCTGACAAAGATTTCAGCCTGTGTCTTATGAACTGTCACATTTCCATGTGATTTGGAGTGGTACTGATGTTTGTTCTCCAGAGATGTTTGCAAATCCAGTTGGACATCACGGGAGACAATTTGGAGTTGTTGTCTCCCCTGAATAGCACCTGGAAGTTCCTGTGGATTGGGCACATGGTACCACCTGCCAATCAGAATCCAGCTGTTCGTAGTCTATTCTAGTTCCCTATATGTGTGTGCATGTGAACGCATGGGTATGTGTGCAATGGAGGCCAGGAGCCAATGTTAGGTGGCTTGCTCAATCTCTACTTTTTGGAGATTTTTGGAACAGGGTCTGTGGAGGTTTGAAAGAAAATGTCCCTCAAAGGGAATGGCACTATTAGAAGGTGTGGCCTTGCTGGAGTGGGGGTTGCCTTGTTAGAAGAAGTGTGTCACCGTGGGACGGGCTTTGAGGTCTCATTTATGCTCAAGCCACACCCAGTATCTCAGTTCACTTCCTGTTGCCTGCAAGATCTAGAACTCTCAGTTACCTCCCCAGCACCATGTCTGTCTGCATGCTGCCATGTCCCGCCATGATGATAATGGACTAAACCTCTGAACTGTAAGCCACCCCAATTAAATGTTTTCCTTTATGAGAGTTGCTGTGGTCATGGTGTCCCTTCACAGCAATAGAAACCCTAACTAAGATAAGGTCTTTCACTGAACCTAGAACTCACTGATTAGCTGGACTAGCTGGCATAAGCCCTGGGGAGCTGCCTGTCTCTGCCTCCCCAGGCTGATTACTAAAAAAAGATTTTCTTTCCTTTTACATACCAACCCCTGTTCCCCCTCCCTCCTCTTCTCCCGCTCCCCCCCCCCCGACATACCCCCATCCCACCTCCATCCCCTCCTCATAGAGAGTGAGGCCTCCTTGGGTGGTCAATACAGGCTATTATACCATGTTGGGGACAGACCAGGCCCCTCCCTCCTGCATCAAGGCTGAGTAAAGCATTGCACCATAGGAAATGGGGTTTAAAAAGCCAGTATGTGTACCCGGGGTAAGTCCTGGTCCCATTACACATCAAGCCATGCAACTTTCACCCCCATCAAGAGAGCCTAGTTCGGGCCTATGCAGGCTTCCCAGCTGTCAGTCCACAGTCTATGAGCTCCCATTAGCTTGGGTTAGCTATTTCTGTGTTTTTTTCCCATCATGATTCTGACCCCCCCTTGCTCTTATAATCTTTCCTTCCTCTCTTCAACTGAACCCAGGATCTTGGCCAAGTGCTTGGCTGTGGGTCTCTGCATCTGCTTCCATCAGCTACTAGATGTAGGTTCTATGATGACAATTAGGGTGGATACCAATCTGAGTGCACATTCTTAGCCATCAGGGAAATGCAAATCAAAATGACTCTGAGATATCAACTTATGCCTATCAGAGGGGCTAAGATAAAAAATATAGATGACAGCCTATGTTGGAGAAGATGTGGAGAAAGGGGAACACTCCTCTACCTGCTGGTGGGAATGCAATCTTGTACAGCCACTCTGGAAATCAGTATGTCAGTATCTCAAAAAATTGGGAATCCACCTACCTCAAGACCCAGCAATACCACTCCTGGGCATATACCCAAAAGATGCTCAACCACACCACAAGGACATGTGCTCAATCATGTTCACAGCAGCATTATTTGTAATAGCCAGAACTTGGAAACAATCTAGATGCCCTTCAACAGAAGAATGGATAAAGAAAACGTGGTACATTTACACAATGGAGTATTATGCAGTGCTAAAAAACAATGTCATCATGAAATTTGCAGGCAAATGGATAGAACTAGAAAAAAATCATCCTGAGTGAGATAACCCAGACCCAGAAAGACAAACACGGTATGTACTCACTCATAAGTCAATGTTAGAAGCAAAGCAAAGGATAACCAGGCTACAAATCCATAACCCAGAGAAGCTAGGTAAAGAGAAGGACACTAAGAGGGACACACATGGATTGCCCCAGGAAGGGAAAAGAGTTAAGATCTCCTGGGCAAACTGAGAGGGGAGAATAGAGGGGAAGGGGTGGGAGGGGAAAGGAGGTGGGAACATGGGGAAGAGACAAGGAGGGAGAGCAATGAAAGAGATATCTTGACAGCCTGTACCATTAAAGGGATGGGGAGAAATCTGCAGCTAGGGAAAACCCCAGGAACTCAGGAGATTGTCCCCAGCTAAGACTCATAGCAATGATAGAGAGGGTTCTCACACACCTGGCTTTTTATGTGAGTTCTGGGGACCTCAACCCTGATCCTCAAGCACTTTACTGATGAAATCATTTCCCAAGCCCAGTCCACCGTATTTCCAGAATATGTCTGAGACAGACTCAACAGAAAGGTCTCTCCACTGCCAAACAGAAGCCCCACAAGCCAGAGGCCACGTTCCATGGATCATGAACTTCACTCAGTACAGACAGAGGGTCTTGAACTCCAGAGTACATTCACCAAAAAAAAAAAAAAAAAAAAAAAATTCAACGCTTCATTAAAAAGTTCTTTTAGAACACAGAATCTAAACACAAAATCCCCCAAGCACATAGAGAGTGAAAACTGCAGTCTCCCACCCCTATGCCCTAGCTACTGAGCTGTCCTCTGCAGAACCTGTACCTGGCCACGTGTGCTTCCTGACACCACCGACATATGTGTCACATGTGTGGAGATGTGCCTGTAAACTTCGCTGTGCAAACAGAAATGCATCCTGTGCCGTCTTCTAAAGTCTTACGGTTTTTCTCTCTTAAAACTATGGCTGTAGGGCAGGAGAGATGGCTCACCCACCAAGTAAGAGCATTTTCTGTGCAAGCATGAGGACTTGAGTTCAAATCCCCAGCTCCCTCAAGAGGCTGAGGGTGCCTGTGACTTCAGTGCTATATGGAGTACAGACAGGAGTCGCTGGGGCTCACTGGCTGCCAGCCTAATTCCAGGCTCAGTGAGAGAGCCTGTCTCCAGGGAGTGTGGCAGAGAGTGACCGAGCAGGACCCGACTCCCTCCGCTGGCCACAGCACACACACATATGCACATATACACGGGGGTGGGATGGGATGGGGGGGTTCTGAGCTCCAGCGTCCATGGCTCTGCTTATTATAAATGCCATGCTTGCCCCTCCATGATGGACTGGGTTTTAGGATATAAAATGATAAAGAAATAAATAACTCCCTCTCTCAAGCCTCTTTTGTGAGGTATCCTACCACAGCAAAGAGAAAAGTAACTAATAAAACATAAAACAAAACCATACCTCGCCTTCTCTACTGTTTAGAAATCAGAATGAACACACTCCATGGATGAAACCTGTGGTCAGACTGTGCTAGAACATTCTGGTATCCACAAAAGGAACGGGTGCCACATGTAGTCTCAGACATGCGTGAGACACTGTCAAATGTTCATACGCAATAAATGTCACCAGGTCCCTAACCTGACACCAGCTGACACTCTCAGCCACTTGTCACCAGGTTCCTAACTGACACCAGCTGACACTCTCAGCCACTTGCTCTGTATCACCTGTGACACACATTTATCTGAAAGCTTGAGTTTACAATGGCACCAATGACTTGAAACAAAAATAAAATGAAATCAATTCATTGATAAATACTTCATTCAAAACTTGTTAGGGAGAGCCAGAGAGATGGCGCAGAGGGGAAAAGCACCTGAGGCCAAGCCTGAAGACCTCGATCCTTGTAACCCACATAGCAGGAGAGAACAGACTCCTGAAAGTCACCCTCTGACCTTCACACATGCACTCACCCACATACACTTGCAATAAATAAATAAACGAAAATGCAATCAAGATTTTAAAATTACAAAAATCCCTATGACCTAGGCATTACACTCGATGCTAGACATAAGAAGAGGCTCGAATAATAACATGGTCCCTCAGGGCTGGGACGTAGTCCAGTCAGTCAAGTGTTTGCCACAAAAGTGTGAGGACCTGGGTTCAAAAGCTGGTCACGGTGGTGCAATCCCAGTGTTGGCAATGTGGAGAAAAGATGGTCCTGGGGATAAGCCAGCCAGTGTAGCCAAATCATGAGCCCCAGGCTCAGTGAGAGATCCTATCTAAAAGATAAGGTGGAAGCCAGGCTTGGTGGCACACACCTTAAATCCCAGCACTCCCCAGGCACAAGCAGGTAGATCTCAGTGAGTTCAACGCCCGCCTGGTCTACATACTGAGTTCCAGGCCATGCAGACCCAGATAGTGAGACCCTGTCTCAAAAAACTACAATAAAAAGTGGAGGGGCTGGAGAGATGGCTCAGAGGTTAAGAGCACTGGCTGCTCTTCCAGAGGTCCCGAGTTCAATTCCCAGCACCCACATGGTAGCTCACAACCATCTGTAATGAGATCTTGTGCCCTCTTCTGATGTGCAGACATAGTGCAGGCAAAATACTGTATACATAATAAATAAATCTTAAAAAAAAAAAAAAAAAAAAGTGGAGAACAATTAAGGAAGGCATTCCATTTGGACCTCTGGTCTTCACATGCATGTGCACACCTGTCTCCATACACACATGTAGATGCACACGTACACACAGACATACACACGCCCACACAAAGGTGTGTCCCTTATCCTTGAGCAGTTAATGTAAGAGTGAGTTGACACGTCCAATGAGGAGTCTATGAAAGGTCACCGAGGCTCCAGAGAAAAGACGTTCCCATCCCATCTGAGAGGCACACCTTTGGTGGCAACGTCATCAGAACCTTACACAAATATTCAAGAAGGTATGAATGAAAGCACAAAACACATAAACACACAGCTCTCTTCAGGTAAGGGGCACCCTGGAGAGGTGGGCGTGGCCTCTGTGACAGCACCCACCAGGGCTCTTGTGGTCTGCATCTGTACACAGAGTACCGGTATTTGCTTCTGGGCCTTTGTTTCTGGTGCAGAATTAGGAGGGCAGGCTGCCGGACAGCAGGTCACAGTCCACACACGAAATGCTGCTTCAGCTTAGTCTCTGAGACAGTGTCTTCCTGAACCTGGAGCTCACCAATTCAGCTAGGCTGACCTGGCTCAATTGATCCCGTCTCCCAATTCCCAGTGCTGGGATTACAGCTGTGCACCACTGCATCTGACTTTCACCTGGGTGCTGGGGAACCAAACTCAGGTCCCCATGCCTGTAAGGTAAACACTACTGACTGGGTCATCTCCCAGACCCTATTTTTCTTTCCCTTTAATAGGAAAGGAAGGCTGTAGAGAGCACTCCTCCAAAATTTAATTCCTAGAGTAGGAGATTTTAGGCACACACCTCCATTTGCATACTCCCCATTCCAACAACACTGGTGAAGCTGGTGTCCAGAAACCCCACCCATCAGAAACCCCGCCCACAGACACACCTTTGCTTTGTGAGCTTGATGAAGAATCTTCAGTGTATCTGAAAGAAAAACAAAACAAGTTCTTTGTTCACACAGATTTATCTAAAACTTCTGTTGTAATTATTAGGTGAGAAACTGGAAACACGGAACCCCTTTCTTTATAAACACACCTATTTAAAATCTGTCCTACTATAAGAGAAAACGCACTTTAGCAAATCATTCAAAGTGCAGCAGGCAGAAGTGGGCTCCGTGGTGGACGCTCGCCTGGCAGAGGGAGGTCCCGGCAGAAACGAGGTGGGGACCCCAAGGAGAAACCAGAGAGGAGAGAAGGGAAGACAGAGGAACCGAGAGGGAGGAAGAGGAAGAGGGAGGGAGAGACACACAGACATTTTAAATCGGTAAGTGTACAACCTTTTGACACTGAGAGATACGAAATTGTCATCTCTAAGTTCATAATCAGGAACCACGGAATTACCAAAAACAAATCACAGAAAGTTTTACAATTTTTTAAGTTAGTGTCACTTATGTACTGGGTTCATGAGGCCTGTGGGTCAGGCATGTTTGTGTGGGTTCAGAGCTTAGGCTTTGACATGTAACCATGGAGCAGCAGAACTGGAAGTCTCAACAGCGAACACAACTCCATTTTATCTTCTAGAGCCACTAAAGGCCAAGAAGGAACAATTAAAAAAAAACCCACATATGCACTCAGGAGGCAGGGGCAGGCGGATCTTTGTGAGTTCGAGGCCAGCCTGGTCTACAGAGCGAGATCCTGGAAAGGCACAAAGATACAGAGAGAAACCCTGTCTCAAAAAAAACCAAAAAAACCAAAAACAAAAACAAAACACACACACATATAAATCTTAAATTAAGACACAGTGACAGGCAGGCATAGTAGCGCACACCTTTAATCCCAGCACTCAGGAGACAGAGGCAGGCAGATCTCTATGAGTTTCAGGCTAGCCTGGGCTACAGGGCAAGTTCCGGCCAAGGCTGCACGGTGGGACACAAGTGAAGAAAAGTGGCTTTAAAAAATCACTAATCCTTTGGCGGCAGTTACAAGGCCTGCAGAATTCAAACATTATCTAGGCTCAGTGGTCATGTGAACACGCCAATGCCCAAAAGACACAATATCTGTTATTCTTTTTGTGTGCATTTATGTGTGTGCGTGGTGTGTATGTATGTGTATGGGTGCATAGATGTATGTGCCTGTACATGCATATATGTGTACATGCATGTATGTACGTCTGTATGTGTGCACAGGTGAATGCATGTGTGTATGGGTGCATGTACATGTTTGTGCATAGTATGCATGTTGCATGTACATGCACAAGGAGGCCGGAGGTTAATGTCAGGTATCTTCCCCTATTCCTCTTCACTCAATGTTTAGAGACAGTCTTTCACTGAACCTGTAAGCATTGGAACTCAGATGGAAAGGTATCCTGGCAGGTGGGAGCCAAGGAACACCACCAAGTCACTTTGCAGCTTACAGCTCTGCCCCAGGGAAAGGTTTTCCCAATACAGTGTAACAACTCTGCTCTGACAGGGGAGGTTTCCCCGGCGAAGTTGTTACAGCTCTGCTCAGGTCCAGAGAAGTGATACAGCTGGGCTTGGCTAGTGGGGAAGTGTTAGAATTCTGCTCCACTCCAGCTCAGGAGAAAGTTTAATAATTTTCTACAAACATTTCCAATACAGCTAGGCTTCTCTCCAGGAAAAGTGTCACACTGCCCAACAAACCTCTTTTGAGATGTACTGGGAAGGAAAAATCCAGGAGGGTGGCTGCCTCTAGGGTGAGCAGTGGCCAAAAACGGAACCAAGTACAGAGATTATATAGGGTTTGTGGGGGGGGGGGGGGGGGGCTTTCCAGGGGAGCTTGGGATTGGTGGGGTTTTGTAGCCTAATTCTGGGGCAAGCTCAGGACTGGTGCAAGGATTCTGTGCTCAGAGATCTCAGGGATTGGTGGGATTCTGTGCTCAGGGATTGGTGGGATTTCAAGCTCTGGTCCTGAGGTCAAGTCAGGATCAAGGTGTTTCTCCTCGGCCCTTTTTACCCTACAGAACCTGGAATTCACATATTCTGCTCAACTGGCAGGCCAGTGAGTCCCAGGGATCTTCCTGTCTCTGCCCTGCCAGGGTTAGCATTTCGGGTGTGTGCCACCACATCCAGCTTATTCTGTGAGTGCTGGGAGTCAAACTCAGACAGCTATGGTTCTGAGATAAGCATTTTATCCACTGAGCCTGCTTCATTGGAACCCACTCCACTCCTAACTGCTGGCGCTGAAACCAGGCCATCCTGCATTTTTGCCACACACTATTTCTCTACACTCGGGTGAAACTTGAACCCTGAATTCTCTACTATCTGCATGTGGTTGAAGATGTGAACTCTGAGCTTCCTGATCAGGCCCCTGCTGCCATGCTTCCTCCGCCATTACGGACTCTCCGTCTGGAACCACAATCCATATAAACTCTTGCATTTACAAACATTTTACAGACCCCTCCAACTCTAAGATAACCAGCCCCGAGTTATACAGCAGACACAGGTATTCTGCATACTTGAATTCTAAAAGTTTCTGGTTCTCCGCTTCATTTTCTAAACAGTTTAATTACTGTATTATGATTAGTGTGTAGTTCTATCTGAAAAAGCTCTCAACAGTACACTAAGTTCCACTCTACTGGCTACACTGTAATAAAGGATCTGTAACACTCAATCCCACTCTACTGGCTACACTGTAATAAAGAATCTGTAACACTCAATCCCACTCTACTGGCTACACTGTAATAAAGGATCTGTAACACTCAATCCCACTCTACTGGCTCCACTGTAATAAAGGATCTGTAACACTCAATCCCACTCTACTGGCTACACTGTAATAAAGGATCTGTAACACTCAACCCCACTCTACTGGCTCCACTGTAATAAAGGATCTGTAACACTCAATCCCACTCTACTGGCTACACTGTAATAAAAAATCTGTAACACTAAACTCCGCTCTATGGTTACGTTATAAAAAAGAATCTGTATGAAAAGCAGGGTCTTTTGAGCACACCTCAGGGTAGCTAGGTCATCATAGGGTCTGTCATCCAGTGAAGAATGGCACTGTGTAAGGACACTTGTAGCTCCTCTGTCTTCCTCAGGCACCAGGCTTGGACATGGTGCACATACACGTGTGAGAAAACACTCATTGTCTTAGTTAGGGTTTTTATTGCTATGAAGAGACACCATGACCACGGCAACTCTTGTAAATGAAAACAATTAATTGGGGTGGCTCGCTTACAGTTCAGAGGTTCTATCCATTATCATCATGGCGGGGAGCATGGCAGCATGCAGGCGGACATGGTGCTGGAGGAACAGCTGAGAATCCTACATCTTGCACCCAACAGGAAGTCAGCAGACTCACTGGGTAGTATTCCAAGCATAGGAAGCCTCAAAGGCCACCCTACATACATACTTCCTCCAACAAGGCCACACCTCCTAACAGCGCCACCCTTTGGAGGCCATTTTCTTTCAAACCACCACACTCATACACTGTGAAGTATTCATCTTCAACAGTCAGGATGGGAAGAGGGATCAGTCAGTAAAGTGCTAGCTGTCCAAGCAGGAGAGCCTGAGGTCCATCCCCAGAACCCATGTAAAAAAGCCAGGTTTAATGGCACACACCTGTGATCCCAGCACTGGGGAGGTGGAGACTAACAGACCCCTGGAGCTCATTGGCTGGCCAAGTCCAGCTGAGTAAGTGAGCTCCAGGTTCAGTGAGAGACCCTGTCTGAAAATAAATAAATAAGGTGGATAGTGCTAGAGGAAGATACCAGATGTCAACACACACTTGCATATATGTACACTCCCCCACACATATGTACACATACAAATACATACACACATAAACACACAAGAAAGAAAGAAGAATCAACTTTCAATTATCCATTGCAATCTTTTTTTTTTATTAGTTATTTTTATGTGCATTGGTGTTTTGCATGCATGTATGTCTGTGTGAGCATGCCAGATCCCCTGGAACTGGAGTAACAGAAAGTTGTGAGCTACTACATGGGTGCTGGGAATTTGAACCTGGGTCCTCTGGAAAAGCAGCCAGTGATCTGAACTGCTGAACCATCTCTCCAGCCCACAATCTTTTTTATTATTGCAATTTTAACACTATTTCAGCACCCTAGGACCATAACTATAGATTTTTAAACTATTTCTTGTGTGTGTGTGTGTGTGTGTGTGTGTGTGTGTGTGTGTGTGTGTGTGTGTTGGGGTTGGGGTTCTCTCCTCCCACCACATGGGCCCTGGTGATGAGACTGAGTTGGCAAGCTGGGGAGTAAGTGCCTTTACTCACTGAGCCAGCTCGCCTATAACTCTTGTTTTTTGAGCTAGCTCTGGCTACCCTAGAACACACTTTATAAACCAGGGTGGCCTCCAACTCACAGAGACCTGAGTGCTGGGATTAAAGGTGTGTGCCACCACACCTAGCTTAAACCCAGACTCTTAAGGAATAAAAATAAATATAGCCTAAGTAAAATATGAGCATCATCAGGAATGTGAATATGCCCCAAATGCCAAAATAAATTCACAATGGACCCAGAAAAAGAAGCAAACGTGACTTTTAGATTATCTACAATTCTGGGTCTCCCACTGCATTCTTTTTTGTCACTAAAAATCCATGTCCATCTAGTATTTGAGACAAGGGGGATACCAACAGTAATTTATTTTAAGTAAAGAAGCTTGGGGTCTGTAGACTCCACCTGCAAAATTGTATTCTGAACTATGAGTATTATCCATGACCTATACATTTTGTTAATAAGATTTTTAAAAGTTGTGTGTGGGTTCATGTACAAGTACATGTACATGTGCCTTCATGTGGAAGCTAGCAATGAACCTTGGGTTTTATTCTCCAGGTGATATCCACCTTGTCTTTTTTTTTTTTAAGATTTATTTGTGTGTGTGTGTGTGTGTGTGTGTGTGTGTGTGTGTGTTCACGCTCGTACACACAAATCATATGTGTGGCATGCCCACACAGGCCAAAAGAGGACCTACTGGAGATGGAGTTACAGGCGATTGTAAGATACTAGGACCGCCGGGCGGTGGTGGCGCACGCCTTTAATCCCAGCACTCGGGAGGCAGAGACAGGCGGATCTCTGTGAGTTCGAGGCCAGCCTGGTCTGCAGTGCGAGATCCAGGAAAGGCGCAAAGCTGCACAGAGAAACCCTGTCTCGAAAAACCAAAAAAAAAAAAAAAAAAAAAAGATACTAGGACCAGTTGCTTGGAACTGAACTCAGATCCTTTTCAAGAGCGGTGCACACTCTTAACTGCTGAGCCATCTCTCCAGCCCTCCCCGGTCTGCCCTGCAGCTCTCCATGTAAGCAAGGCTGCCTAACCAGCAGACTCCAGGAACCTGCTTATCTCCACCTCCTCAGTGCTGGCATCACAAGAGCCCACCACCAGGCTGGGCTTTTACGTGGGTGCCTGGGATCAAACAAAGGTCCTTATATGTGCAAAGCAAGTGCTTTACCAAATGAGCTACTGTTTAATGCAAATGCATATTTTCAATTTGTTTTCTATTATGTGTACATGAGAGGATATATATGTACCATGCAAGTGCCTGGTGCCATCAAAAGTCAGAAGAAGGCATTCAATCCCCACGGAACTGTAGTTGAGGATGGCTATGAGCAGACACATCTGTGCTGGGAATCAAACCTGGGTCCTCTGCAAAAGCAACACGTTCTCTAACTGCTGAGAAACCTCCCCAGACCCTAAAGGGAAATAACGCTCCAGCAGGCTCAGCAAACCCACAAAAGGGGAAGCTACATTTTCTCAGCAGGACAAAAATGGTGCGAACAGAAATTTTTACCCAGATTTTTCTCTTCAACAGAAATTGGCAAAACCAAAGAAAGTAGAGAAAAATGTCACTTCCTCTACAGTGATGTCCTCAGTCACTCTGACTTTGGGGTGGTTTGTTTGCTTGTTGTTTTTGCCTGGGTTTGATTTTTGTTTGTTTGTTTGAAACAGGGTCTCAGGTTGCCCAGGCTGGTTTTGAACTTGCTGTGTGGCCAAGGCTAGGCTTGAACTCCTGATCCTCCAGCTTCTAACTCCCCAAGTGCTGGCATTGCAGACATGAGAATTTTGACTTCTTAAAAAAAAAAAAAAACCCAAACCCACTTTATTAACAAAAACATCTTGCCTTAATAAAAAGTCCTTGAAAAATGCAACTTCATAAATATATCATCCCAAGGCTAGGGAGCTGGCTCGAGGGTAAGAATGTGTGCTGCTTTTTCAGAGAACAGGAACCCATGCTGGGTAGCCCACCATCACCTGAGACTTTACTTCAGGAGATCCGATGCTCTCCCCTGGCCTCCACAGGAACACACACACACACACACACACACACACACACACACACACACACACAGAGCATCCACACACAGAGACACATATGCAAATAAAGATAAATCTTTAAAAATTATATCTAAACAGGGTCTGTAAAAGTGGTTCAGCAGTTAAGAGGATCCAGGTTTGGTTCCCAGCACACATGGGATGGCTCACAACTGTCAGTAACTCCAGTTATGGGGAATCTGACACGGCTTCTGTGGACACGGTATACACATACACACACACACACACACACACACACACACACACACACACACACACACACACAGAGGCAGACACATACACATAATCACTACCACAGAGAAAATGGAGTTCTAAATGTTTAAAGTAAAAAAATAGTATTGTATATTTGTGGAGTATTCAACATGCTAGCCCATGCTTTGTTAAATTTCATACTACATCAAAACCATACCAGGCTAGCTGGGTGTAGTGACACACATGTTTCATCCCAGATTTCAGGAAGCAGAGACATGCAGATCTCTGTGAATTTGAGGCCAGCCTGGTCTACATAGAGAGTTCCCGGTCAGCCTAGGCTACATAGAGAGTTCCAGGTCAGCCTGGGTTACATAGAGAGACTTGGTCTCAAAACAAACAAACAATAAATAAAATTTAAAGACTCACACACAAGGTTTAGCAGACTGTACAGAAGTCAGGATTTCTGTGTGTCCAAACGCATGGTAGCTGAACCCCCAGGACAAACAGCTTATTCAACAGCTGTAGACGCTGATCATATAGGAAGAGAGCCTCAGAAATCACTGCGGCTGTAAGAGCGGGTCCTTCGCCCAACAGCACAGAACCAGTGACCAGCAGGAGTGAACCTGCCGCTGCGCCGCCCCCCCCACTTCACACTCAGTACACTACTGTTCTGTTGCCACAAGCCAGACAAGTACCAGATGACCACGGCAGGTGAAAAGCTGGCACCAAGCCTTTCCTAAGCGAGACAAAGCAGTGGACTGTTCCTCAGCCAGACCCAGCCGAAGAGCGTCTCCACACCTGCCGGGGTCCAGTGCCTCTGTAATTCCTTCCTAGGTTCCTGCCTGCTCATCCAAACACATGGAAATGCTATGATGCAAGGAGTTAATGAGACAGAGGAATCTCCATGACGTGTTCTCTACCCCAATGAGACTTAGCAACCTGGAGCCTCAGATGGTTGTACTTTCTTCTTTAATAGTGTGTGTGTGTGTGTGTGTGTGTGTGTGTGTGTGTGTGTGTGTGTGACAGTGTGGAGACCAGAGGATAACTTCGACTGTCCTTCCTTGGGAGCCATCCACTCTGTTATTTATTTACTTACTTATTTTTGAGACAGAATTTCTCACTGGCCTAGAGCTCACTGGTTACATTAGGCTGGTCTGGCCAGCAAGCCCCAAGAACACACCTGACTCTACCTCCCTGGCTCTGGGATTACAAACATGTGCCACTGTGCCCAGCATGTTTGATAAGGGGATTGAATTTAGGTCCTCATTCTTGTCCAGGAAGCACTTAGCCAAATGAGCCATCAAGAGCTCCCCAGATCTGCTTTCATTGTTTTAAAAGTTATCTTTTAAGAGAGCTGGCATTGCACACATTTGCCCCCCCCACACACACACACATGCACATACACACACACACACACACACACACATTCACACATACAATATGCAAAAAGGGAAACTATATGTAATTTGCAGGTGGATTCAAGCTTAAGATTTGAGATTCTATTCATGGCATTCTCCTCCAAAAGCTGTGAAAGCCACAATTGAGAAGTCTCATATTTCCCTCAATCATGCTTTTGATTCCTTTCTCTGCTTCAATACTGAGTATGTAAATGCTTGAGGTTTCATAAATCAAAGTACTTTCCACTCAGTGCCTCTGCCTCCTGCCTGACTGCCTCTGCAACCTCACAATTAGACTGTGGTATTAAAATGCAGGCCCACGTAGATTGTGATTTAGAAAGACTGTAGGTCATTGGTTGCCCTATCAGACGGGAATGGAATGAAAAGCCACTCTGGAAAATGACTTAAGGTAATAAAAAATTTACACTTTCAAATGTCTGTCCTAATTAGCAGAAATATTTATTAGATGCATTGTAACTTTCAAGCAGGGGTCTCAAATCCAAGTTTGCTCAGTACCACTCCACTGAGGATGAGGGGCTAGATGGTCTTTATAACAAATAATGACACATAGCCTCTGGCTTTATTACAGTATTTTTACTTTTTATTGTATTTTATTTATTTTGTGTGTGTGTTTGTGCATACATGTGTGCCAAGGTAGAGGACAACTTGTGAATTTGAGTTCTCTCTTTCCATTATTTGTGGGTCCAGAGATTGAACTCGGGTTGTCAGGATTGGCAGCAGGTGCTTTTACCTGCTGAGCTGTCTCACCAGCCTTCTCTCTCTCTCTCTCTCTCTCTCTCTCTCTCTCTCTCTCTCTCTGTAAGATGGTGTCTCATGTATCCCAGGCTGGCCTTTACAGCTTGCTTTATAGCTAAGGGTGATTTTGAACTTCGGATCCTCTTGTCTCCAGCTCCCAGGTGCTACGGGACTACCCACTTTATGCAGCAGTAGGGGTCTCACTGAGGACTCTCTGCATACGAGGTAAACACTCAAACAACTGAGCTTCACCTCAGCTCCTGTTACTGGATTTTTAGGTCACTAATTGCAGCATATCAAACAAGCATGTTCAAGTGATTGGCATTTAAAATGCTAAACCGCTTCTTTTGAGACAGAGATGCATCCCAGGTTGGCCTTGAACTCCATTTGTAGCTGAGAATGACCTTCAACTCCAGTTTCTCCTGTCTCGCCTCCCTGCTGGATTACAGGTGTGCACCAGCACACTGGATCACAAGTGTGCACTGACACACTGACTGGATCACAAGTGTGCACCAGCACACTCAGTCTTATTTGGGTCAGGGATGAAACCCAGGGCTTCCTGCAACCGTAAAACCTCCTGATGGAGTCACATCCATGACCCTAAAGACTTCTTCTCATTTTTGGTCCCTGCCATTTTTTTTTTCTTCTTTGTTTACCTGGCAAAGAAACCTCATTTACAAACAGTTTTGCCAAGCAAGCCATCCCTCACAAGCATGCTACCTTCCTACACAATTACAATTGACTTTTACAGCATGTTAGACTCCTACACTCCTTAGCAAACTTCCATACTGATATGTGTGTGTGTGTGTGTGTGTGTGTGTGTGTGTGTGTGTGTGTATGATATGTATTTATATTGCCAAAGACCCTCAAAAGCATCTCTGATTCATATGCTAAGCAAACATCAATGATATAAAAATAATAATGGCTCATACATGCATAACAGTCCATGAGTATACATAGTATATACTTGTATCATATATATACATTAGTGCTGGGATCGAACCAGGGTCTTGCCCATGCTAAGCACACATTCTTCACTAAGCTATGCCTCTTGCCCCTCCAAAGTGACTTTAATTTATAGTAAATTAATTTTTGAACACCACATTTGAATTCATGCCAACAAAAATAATGCGACGTTATATATCTTTTAAAATAGTAAGAAAAATTGGTTACCGTATTTGTAATTTCTGAGTGGTGGTGGCAGGCTGGTCCTCAAAGGGACATCTGCAAGAGAGAATGATGATTTCTCATTACAAAATATTCAATAGGATGCCGAGTCTTTCAGGTATGGCCAGATTCTTTCCCCTTTTTCCTTTCCTTAAACAGGGTCTCATGTAGCCAATAATGATCTTGAACTTCGGATTCTCCTGCCTCCACCTCCTGAGTGCTGGGATTACAGGTGTGTTACCATGCCTGGTTTACGTGGTGCTAGTATGGAATGCAGGGCTTTATGCAGGCCAGGCAGGCACACTCCCAACTGAGCTCCATCTCCAACGACAGACTAAGCTAATTTTAAAAATTAGACAAAATGAAGCCGATGCAGCATCAAAATCCAGGGGCCATCTACCATAAGGAAACCATCACTGAGAGGCTGAGCTGGGAGCCACTGAACTGAGAATGCAGCGGAACTATTGAAAGAATGATTCCTGGGAACAGTGAGAAGGTTCAGTTAGAAAAAGTAGCTGTTTCACAGCATGAGGATCCGGATTTGGATCCCCAGAGCCCACAGAACATTTCAGAGAAGAGTCGTATACTTCTGCAACCCTGGCCCTGGGGGAGAGAGGGGACCAGCTGCCATCCTAGCCCCATAAGTGGGCTTCAGCTTCAGTGACAGACCTTTCTCCAAACATGAAGGTGGAGAATGACCAAGGGAAGACACTGGACACTGACCTCAGGCCTCCACACAAATGTGTGCTCACCTAAATGTGCACCCGAACACACATGTGCATACATGAGGCCCTGGGTCAACGGAAGACACTGGACACTGACCTCAGGCCTCCACACAAATGTGTGCTCACCTAAATGTGCACCCAAACACACATGTGCATACATGAAGCCCTGGGTTTCCATCCCAGTACTGCGTAAACTGGGCATGGTGATACACGTCTATAGTCCTAGTACTTGGGGAAGTTGAGGCGGGGGGATTAGAAGTTCAAGGTCATCTTTGGCTACACAGAAAAGTTTGAGTCCAGCCTGGGCTACATGAGATCCTGTCTCATAAAAATAAATCATTATTTTTCCTCAAGATTTATTTTTATTAATTATGGGTATAGGGGAGGGTATATACACATGACCGCAGGTGACCGCACAGGCCTGGGGGTTGGATCCCCTGGAGCTGGAGTTTTAGGCAGTTGTGAGCCGCCCACCATGGGTGATGGGAGCCAAACTTGTGTCCTCTGGAAGAACAAGAAGAGCCCTTAGCCTCCGAGCTGTGTTTCCAGCAGTTTTCAAAAACAAACAGTGTACAGGCTAGAAGGAGAGGCGGTGGGGAGAGGGAAGGGAGAGGAGGAGAATCCATATCAGGCTTGGCCACTGAGGGCAGATCAGACGCTGTGCCCTGAGCCAGACGATGGACTCCCTGAAAGTAATCAGGTGAAGAACTGGTCCTGACGCTACTGTCGTGTGGAGACACAGAGAGAGGGGGCCATGACCAACACACCTTCCTTTGCACCCCCACTCTGCTGTCATGACTACCCACAGCCCCATGGGCACTAGCTCCTTGGATGCTGGTATAGCCATGCTGGTTTACCTGAAATGTCTCCATTCTCTGCTAATTCATAAATCCCTGAAGATTAAGACACCACAGACTGTCTTCTCAAATCTTGCGTAGAGACCACAGTCTGCTTTTCTCACTGTGTAGTTACTATCTAAAAATCATCCCTGGTGTGTGGCAGGCACTCAGAAACCCTCCAGAAGGAGAGACACTGTCAACCCCTTCACCTGGCAGTTGTGAGTACCAAGGCTCCAAGGAGGTAATTAGTGACGCCTGGTGGCTGCGGACTGGAATATCTTGTACCAAAAATGAAACACTTAACACACATGCATGTGTATACATGTGCACACATGCCAGGAATACCAACTGAAACCAAACACCAGGGCTATAACCATGCAAGCAAGTCAAAAAAAATATAAACATAAATATAAATAAACTCATTAATACAAATGATACAGAAAGCCCACCCTCAGGGAGTGAGCAATAACTCCCTGATCTTCAACTATAGACTGTGCACAGAAGTAACTTCCAAGTCTCCTGTGACACAAGCTGGCCTCCAAGTCCCTAAGTAGCTGAGGATGACCTTGAACTCCTGGTTCTCCTGCCCCCACCTCCTGAGCGCTGGATTACAGGTGTGCACCACCATACCCAGTTCATGCAGTGTTTAGGACTCAGGCGCTCTACCGACTAAGTGACATCTCTGGCACCCCAGGCTCACTTTCATGGCTACACTTTCCCACATACTCAGTAGAAACAGGTCGTAGTTATGTCGCTGCTGTGGCTGCTGAAAGGTCAAGCAGGCAGGCCTGAGCATCTAGCTGTGACAGGCACCACCATTCTGTTGGGGACAGAGGTAACCAATAGTTACTGTGAATGAATCATTCTATGGTACCTGGGAGGCGAGGAACAGAGTGACCCAGGGGACCACGACTTCCTGTGCCACCATAGCAACCTGAAAATCACATCTTGTTCCTGAGGACTTCAAGAGGGTCCCATCCTGCCTGACAAGGAACATCACGCTCTTGCTGCACCGATGCCAAGAAACACGAGAGCCCTCGGCATCCGTGGAGACGTGAACATGCGGGCCGGGAGACGGCTCAGCAGCAGGTAAACGCACATGCCACCAAGCTTGACGGTCTGTGTTCAATCCCTGGGCCCCACGTGGGAGAAGGAGAGAATGACTTCCTCCTCCACTCACACACTCTGCGGTACACACATGCGCATAGACATGCACAAGCAGGTTGGCACGGGCATGAACACATGCACACACAGACAGAAAATAAACAAAATGTATTAAAAATGATAAAAGAATTTGAAAATAACTCTGTAGAAATCAAACTTCACATATGCTGAGGAATGACTTTCAAAAAGCAGGCCACTCTGTAATTGGCACTGGAAGTGACCAGAACATGCCATCCCGATATATGCCTACCTGGCACAAGGATTGTTTGGAGCGAAAAGCTGATGTCTAGTGCTCTCTGCCCTCCCTGTTTGCCTATGACAAAGCTACACCCTTTCTCCCAGAGCAACCTTAGAAGGCTGTTATGCCCCTCATCAGCCTGCAGGGGGCATCAGAGTGTGCCATACCACAAAGCTTCAGCTACCCCTCCTTCTCTACTCCCTGGTCTACAAGCTTCCACCCCTAGGTATCCAAAGTCGTCTTCCTTGTCCGGTCACTTCTCTGAGAATTTTTCACTCTCTAGGAATCCCACACACATGGCGTGCACTCAGCAATAACTCCTGCTGGTCTTTCTCTTGTTTATCTGTCTCTTTCAACTGAGAACTTATGAGGCTGGAACCGGGGCGGACGGCTCAGTGGGTAATGCACGTGCTTGTCCTTGCCCTGCAAGTGTGAAGACCCGATTGAATCCCGAGTCCACGTCTAGCCTGGCATGGTAGTACATGTCCATAATACTAGAGCTACAGGCAAATGAAAGGCAGAAAATCGCCAGAAGCAGAAGATACAAAACACCCTGTCTCAAATGAGACGGAAGGGGAGGACAGACACAGAGTTGTCCCCTGACTGCCATGTGTGCTCTGGGACACACAAGTGTGTGTGTGTGGGGGGGGGTGCACACACATAGGCACACACCATACACATACAGATTTTTTAAAAGAACTTACGAGTGGGGAAAAGTTACCCCCCCATTAACATTATTTCTTAGTATGAAATATCAATACCCCCTAATAATAAAGAACACGGCAACAGATAGCTGGGTATGGTGGCGCACGCCTTTAATCCCAGCACTTGGGAGGCAGAGGCAGATGGATCTGAGTTCAAGGCCAGCCTGGTCTACAGAGCGAGTTCCAGGACAGCCAGGGCAACACAGAGAAACCCTGTCTTGAAGGCAAAAAAGAATATGGCAGCAAAACTTTATACTCTAAGCGTAAGTCAGAAGTTACTTCGTGAACTACTTTAACGACAGCAAAGGAAGCCTGTCACCAAACCAAGCCCGTTCCTTTACCTCTCACAAAGAGAGCCCGAGGAATTAGGGTGAGTAGTTAGAGCAAGGAAACAGCTCACTCACAGATGGAGGGATGGCTCAGCAGCTAAGAGCCCTTGATGCTCTTGCAGAAAAACCCAGGTTCAGCTCCAGAACCCACACAGATGGCAGCTCACAACTGTCCATCCCCCAATTCCAGAGAAACTAGTGCCCTCTCCTGGCCTTCATGAGCACTGCATGCATGTGGTAAACATACTCACACACACATAAAATAAAATTTAAAAATCTTTATAAAAATATTTACTCAAGATGCCTATAAAACCAGAAAGACAACAGGCCAATGCCTTGGAAAAACACGTCAATTTTTAAAATATTTTGTTTATTTATTGTTTATCATTGTGGACACACATGCCATGGTGCACTTTTGGTGGCCAGAGCAGAGTCAGCTCCCTTTTTCCACCACGTGGATTGAACTTGGCTCCTCAGGATTGGTGTCAAGTGCTTTTATCCATTAAGCCGTCCCAGCAGCCTGAAAAAACACATCTTCACTCAGTGTAAGTGAGGCAAGGGAAGAGCAGAGGGCTTAGGAAAGGGAAGGAAGGAGGCTGCACATTCTTAGGCCCCGTCCCCATGGAGTGGAACGGGACGGGGCTGTGAAATCGGTGGTCAGTACACGTGCAATCAGTGAAATCGGTGGTCAGCACACGTGCAATCAGTGAAATCGGTGGTCAGCACACGTGCAATCAGTGAAATCGGTGGTCAGCACACGTGCAATCAGTGAAATCGGTGGTCAGCACACGTGCAATCAGTGAAATCGGTGGTCAGCACACGTGCAATCAGTGAAATCGGTGGTCAGTACACGTGCAATCAGTGAAATCGGTGGTCAGCACACGTGCAATCAGTGAAATCGGTGGTCAGTACACGTGCAGTCAGTGAAATCGGTGGTCAGCACACGTGCAATCAGTGAAATCGGTGGTCAGTACACGTGCAATCAGTGAAATCGGTGGTCAGTACACGTGCAATCAGTGAAATCGGTGGTCAGCACACGTGCAATCACAACACCGTGGTGCTCATTGGAACAGATATGGCATCTAAGACGATCATGCCCAAGAATAGCCTAACCAGGTTGAAAAAAGAGAGAAGAGAAAAATATCATCCTGGTTTTAGTTTTTAAAATTATTCGTGCACTTGTCTGTGTGTGTACCACATGCATGCAGCACAGCGCTGACAGAGGCCAAAAGAGAGCCTCGGATCCTGGAACTCAGTGTTAGGAACCAAACCCAGGCCCTTTGCAAGAACAGCCAGCGCTCTTGGCCACTGGGCCACCTATCCAGCTCCCTAAGCAACCTTACGATTGTGCATGTGGATCATTTCTAGGGCACACGTGGCCCTCAGGCCACAGGTTATATACACCGGCTTGAAACCTGGAAAGTGTATCAGCCACCCCCATCTTGACACCTTAAAGAGAGAAGAAGGATTGGATGAGTTTAGTGCAAGCGATTGTTTACCACCCCCCAAGTACACACGAAGTGACTGAGATGTCTACACAATGTGACCCAAACGTTAGAGTGGCAAGGGGACAGACGAGACATGAATGCAGAAATGCCCACTTTGTCACCAACAGACCCAAGAGAAAAGTGAGGGCTTTAAACAAAAGCAGCTTTCAAGTCCCTGGAAAGTAGCTCCGGCAGCCTTCACTATCACGACACACACAGCCTGCACACACGTGCACACACACAGCCTGCACACACGTGCACACACACAGCCTGCACACACACAGCCTGCACACACAGCCTGCACACACAGCCTGCACACACAGCCTGCATACACACAGTCTGGGAAGATGACTCAGTGGTTAAACCACTTGCCACATACATATGACGACCAGAGTTCAGACCCCAAGAGCCCGGTGGGTGTGTGTGGTGGTTTGAATAGGAAGGGCCCCATGGACTCATGTGTCTGAATGGTTGGCCTATAGGGAGTCGCACTATTAGAAGGTGTGGCCTCGTTGGAGGAAGTGTGTCACTGTGGGGGTGGGCTTTGAGGTCTCATATGCTCAAGCTATGCCCATTATGGGAGACAGTTCACTTCCTGTTGCCTGAGGATCAAGAAGTAAAACTCAAGATGCTCCCTCTCCAGCACCATGTCTGCCTGCATGCTGCCACGCTTCTCGATAATGGACTGAACCTCTGAACTGTAAGCCAGCCCTAATTAAATGTTTTCCTTTATAAGAGTTACATGGTCATGGTGTCTCTTCACAGCAATAGCATGTTATAATTCCAACCTCAGAAGGCAGAGACAGAGGTATCTAGATTGAGCTGGCTAACAAAACCAGCTTGTCAGTGAACTCTGGGTTTGACTGAGAGACTCTGTGCCTCAATGAATAAGGTTGAAGAGCAACAGAAGGGGATTCCCAACATCATCCTCAGGCTTCCTCATGCATGCATGCGTGTACACACACACACAAAAATGGAAAAATAAAACAGTAAAAATATAAAGTCACATAGTTTTCAATTCATGGAACTATCTGTTAAAAACTGCACTGTACTCTATATTAATTTCACCTCACTTAAAAGAATAAACACACCGGGTAGTGGTGGCACACACCTTTAATCCCAGCACTCGGGAGGCAGAGGCAGGCGGATCTCTGTGAGTTTGAGGCCAGCCTGGGCTACAGAGTGAGTTCCAGGAAAGGCACAAAGCTACACTGAGAAACCCTGTCTCAAAAACAAAACAAAACAAAAACAAAAGGAATAAATGCATATGCTAGAGACTGTATCAGATGCCTGTGGAACGCTTCAGTATGAAGAGTAGTAAGGCCATCTCAGGACAAGGACTGTGCTTCCACCCTCTGCAGCCTCAGAATGATAAGCAGTACCAGAAGACTTCCATTTCCCAGCCAGCTTGATGGCTCAGCTGGTAGAAGCACCTGCTGCCAAGCCTGACGACCTGAGTTCAATTCCCAGGACCCTCTGGGTGGAGGGCGAGAACCTGATCCTGCAAACTGTCCTCTGACTTCCACACTGTGGCACAAGCACCCCCCACACATACACACCATGTATACAGACAGACAGACAGACACACACACACAGACACACACACACACACACACACACACACACACACACTATAAATAAATATGAAAAGTGTAAAGAGTGACGTCTCTGTGACCACAGTGATCCAGTCTCTCCTGATTGCTTCAGCTCCCTGCTGCCCTAGCCACACTGCCCAGCAAGGCTCCTGTGTGCTGGGAAACGACACAGTCAGCTGCATTCCATGCCCTTCCCATTCAGTCTCCAAAGATAAACTCCTTATGGGTGGACCTGATTTTCTTTGTGTGTACATACATGTTTATGTATGCATATGTGTGTGTGGAGACCAGATGTCAATACCGGATGTCTTCCTCAATCTCTCTCCGCCTTATTTTTTGAGACAGGCTTCTCACTGTACCTGGAACTCACCAACTCTGTTAGACAGATGCAAGGGGCAGAGGAAGCCAGGAGTAAGCGAAGTCCTGAGTAAACGTGTATTTTGACATAAGCAAGGCCTGTTAAGGACTCCGAGACCAATTGGTCCAGGGTAAACTGGCAAAGCCATTACCCATATGGGCCAGGCTCAAGAGGGACGGCAAAGCCTGGGCATGAGTGATTATGGATCAGTGTGTGCAAAGATTAACAACTGCAGTGCCCTCCTCCCAGAAGCTAACAGCCTGGGGTTGCTCGCCTACAGAGACCTCCGACCAAGACCAGCCAACCCCCACCCCATCCTGTTCCCAGCTCAGTCGTCTGTGTGTCTGTCCTTCCTTCATTCCCTTGCCATCCCTAGCCAGGGTTCTGGGACCCAAGTTGTGTGGGATGAGGCAGGCGGGTCAGACAGTGAGCCCCAGGGATACTTTCTCCACCTCCCCAGTGAGATTACAGGTTCACACCTCTATTCCTTTATTACCTGGGTTCTAGAGGATCAAACACATATTCTCCTCATGCTTGTGTGGCACACACTAGACAGTCACCCCCCCTGCCCTGGACCTTAGTCTGTTTGAGGCTAAACATGATGGTTATAACTCCTGGTGAGTGTGTTCACACTATTCACTGACAAACTGGGGCAGCTGGTGGCAGGGTCCAGGACACAGCCAGCCTGGCCCCTGTGAGCACCAGCTTCCAAAGCACTTCTGGACTGGGGAAGAACTACTTCAGTGCTGTTCTTGGTTGATTTTTTTTTTAATTATGCATAAATACAGCTATGTAACCCAGGCTAGCCTAAACGTCACTATGTAGTCTAGGCTGGCCTAAAACTTGCTAGATAGCCGACGCTAGCTTTGAAATCACAATTCTCCTGGCTCTACGTCCTGAGCGCTGGGATTACAGGTGTGCACCACTAGGCCCAGCCTAATTTTGTACTTTTCAAAGATTATTTTTAACATCACAGTCAGATGTTTTTCACTGTCAAAATACAAATGAAACAAAGCAACTCTATTTCTCATACCTTGCTTTAGAAATATTATAAATTCCTTCACAGTTTGGTTCAAATTAACTCCATGATATACCACAGGCTTGAAATTTCGATGCTCAAATGACCGGATGAGGCGAACTGTGAGGATTGCTTCCTCAGCAGCCATGTGTAGAGACACCTGTGGTAAGACACATGGGTAAAGTGGATAAAGGCATTGCCGTGAAAGAGTGAGTGAGCAGAGCTCAGATCCACACAGAAGCTGGGCCCGTATGGGAGACTGCTGCAAACCCAGCGCTTGGGAGTCAGAGACAAGAGACACCCAGGGCAATCTGGCTGGCAAGGCCAGCCAGAACTGGTAGCTCTGCCTCAATAAATGGAGACTGACCGAGGAAGACATCCATTGCCAACCTCAGGCCTCCTCCACACGCACACATGTGCACCCAAACACACATGCACACACTACACATACATACGCACATTAAAATAAATAAAAGTCATTTCTTAGTCAGTGGCAGGGGCCTTAATAATTGGCAATATTCTATGCATCTTAAGTAAAATATTAAATATAGGGACAGTGCGCTATTTTTATGTCTTTCAATTTGTCTGAAATAGTCCATAACACACAAATAAGCCACATAAACTTGGCTCAGAAAGTCTCTCTGAAAAACTGAGTGCTTGTCCAACTGTTTTACTAAGTTTGGGGAAAGATACAGCACATTAAGCATGGAGAGCTAAGGAGTTTACTATTTGAATGCACCAAATAATTTTTAATTAAAATTAGCATATTAGCTATAATGAAACGGCTCCTATAAAACCTGAAATAGATTTTCCCCATAAAATAAAGTAAGGGTTCATCTAATCTTGTCTCATGGCTAATAAGCCTAATAAATCTCTTGATAATTCCAATATTGGTTATTACAGCATTCCTCATTACTTCCTTCATATTCTCCTCAGAAAAACACAGTCCTAAAAGCTACCAAACAATAGTTCAACACACATCCACAAAATAAAAATGTTTAACATACTGAGGCACTTAATGATTATTGGCACAATCCATGATTTCAGGGATCTTGTGAACAAATATTCTAAATCTCTTCTGCATGCTGGGGCACAGACTCAGAGCCTGGCATGTCCTTGGTCTGTGCTCTTCCACTGAGCCCTGAATGTCCTGTTGTGTTCATGTACATGTGAGTGCATAGGTGCATGTATGTTGCATGTATGGGTAGAGGTCAGAAGACAGTGTCACATGTTGCTCCTGGGGTGCTGGGGTGGTATGAATAGGAACGGCCCCCATAGGCTCACATATTTGAATGCTTGGTCATCAGGAAGCAGCACTGTTAGTCGGTGTGGCCTTGCTGGAGGAAATGTGTCACTAGGGGTGAGCTTTGAGGTCCCAAATGCTCAAGAGAGGGCCAGTGTCTCTCTTCCTGCTGCCTGAGGATCCAAATGCGGACCTCTCAGCTGCTTCTCCAGCACCATGTCTGCCGGTGTGCCGTGCTGCCATGCTTCCCACAGTGATGACAATGGACCAAACCTCTGGACTGTACGCCAGCCCCAGTTAAATGCTTCCCTTTAGGAGCGTTGCCGTGGTCGTGGCGTCTCCTCACAGAAGAGGATCCTAAGGGATGCCTTCTACTTTTTGTTTGAGGCACCGATTCTCATTAGCCTGAAATCTTACCAAACTGGCCAACATTAGGCAGCCAATGAGCTTCCGGGGACACACCTGTCTCCAAACACAGCACCACTCCGGGAATTTTAACGTGAGTTTGGGTCCTGGGGATCCAAACTCAGGTCCTCATGTTCGCAAGGCAAGTGTTTTACTGACTGAGCCATCTCTCCAGCCCAGGTTTTCAACCTCACTACATTTACTTGTTTATCTATCTATCTACTTATTTATTTGTTTACTTATTTACGTACTTGCTTGCTTGCTTATCGTGTGTGTGCATTTGGTTACACTGTGCCGTGGTACCCATGTGGAGGTCAGAGGACAACTGGTGGGACTCAGTTCTCCCTTTCCACCACGTGGATCGAACTCAGGTTTTGCAGCCAGCATCTTTACCCCCTGAACCATCCCTCCAGCCCACGCTCTGGTTCTTGACTACGACGTTATCCATCTTTATCTACACATGTGATAAAATCACATAAAATAAATGCATGCACACATAGACATGCCTAGACATACACATACAAGTACATGTAAAACTAGTGAAATCTGAACAGAAGTCAGGGTTGTGCCAACAGCAGTTGTCTAGCCATGAAAATAGACTTACAGTCAAGCCAGGTACCACCACTGGGGGACACTGGCAGAGAGGTATAGGAACTCTTTTCTGCATTATTTATAACGATTTCATGTAAAACTATCTCAAAATAAAAGTTTCTAAAAATCATTCAGTATGGTGGTTTGAAAGAAAATGGCCCCCAAAGGGAGTGGCCTTGAGGTAGTTGTGGCCTTGTTGGAGGAAGTATGTCACTGTGAGGGCGGGCTTTGAGGTCTCCTTTGTTCAAGCTTCGCTCAGTGTGAGACTGAGACTGCTTCCTGTTCCTGCAGGTCAAGATGTAAGACACCCGGCTACTTCTGCAGCACATGTCTGCCTGTACATCGCCATGTCCTGCCGTGATGATGATGGACTGAACCTCTGAACTGTAAGCCAGCTCATTAAATGTTTTTCCTTTACAAGAGTTGCTGTGGTCATGGTGTCTCTTCACAGCAATAGAAACCCTAACTAAGACATTCAGACAAGCCTGCTAAAATCATGAATGGAGGGAATACACTGAATAACAGAGTACTAAAACCATCAGGTAAGAGACTGGCAGAGAGCTTAGAATGGAGACACCAATGCAGCCAGCCACTGGATGACAGCATCCAAACGCACCAGCCAATCTCAATGAATGCATCAGGCCCAGAGCTTCCAGTGTATCCGCTCTGACAGAGAGGGTGTGAGGCCAAGTTCATTGACACCAGAGGTACCAGCCAAGGTCCAAGGCTAAGGAAGTCTACTGGAGGCATGGCCTGGCTTCTCCAGCAATCTCACAAGAAATAAAGGAGGCAGTCGAGGGAGACTGCTCAGTGGGTAAAATGCTTACTGTCCAAGAGTGAGGAGTGAGTTCAGCTCCTCAGAACACATAGAAAGCCAGACTTATTCCAGTGCTTCTGTGAAGAGATGGGAAGTGGAGACAAGAGACTCCCAGAAGCTTGCAGGCCAGCTAGCCTGCCATACAGAGAGGGGGATAACAAGGTGGAAGGGGCTGGAGAAAGAGATGGCTCAGCAGTTAGGAGCACTCACTGCTCTTACAGAGGGACTGAGTTCGATTCCCAGCACCCATGTCAGGCAGCTCACAACCATCTGTAATTCCAGCTCCAGGGATCCGATGCCCTCTTCCGGCCTCCATGGGCACCTGCATCTGTGTACACCAGTGGTTCTCAGCCTTCCTAATGCTGTGACCCTTTAACACAGTTCCTCACGGTGTGGTGACCCTCAGCTATAGAATTTTTTTTGTTGCTACCTCATAACTATAATTTTGCGATTGTTATGAATCATAATGTGAATATCTATTTTCTTATGGTCTTAGGCGACCCCTGTGAAAGGATCATTCAACCCCAAAGTGGTCGTAACCCATCGGTTGAGAACTGCTGATGTACACAAACCCTACACTGACCCAGATCCAGGCACATAAATTAGAAATAATAAATAGAGGCAGGCGGATCTCTGTGAGTTCAAGGCCAGCCTGGTCTACAGAGTGAGTTCCAGGAAAGGCGCAAAGCTACACAGAGAAACCCTGTCTCAAAAAAACAAAAAAACAACAACAACAAAAAAAACAAAGAAATAATAAATAATAAGGGCTGGAGAGACGGCTCATCAGTTACGAGCACTTTCTACATTTCCAAAAGATCAGAGTTCCGCTCTTAAGTCCCACATCAGCTGGCTCACACACATCTGTAACTCCTGCTTCACGGGACCCAGTACCCTCTTCTGTCCTGCTTGAGCACCTGTACACATGTGGAATACATAGACACAGACACATACATAGAGGTACATCTTTAAAAATAAATAAAAAAACAAAATAATAAACAAAATGTGGAAGGGGAGGACCAACCCCGAGGTTGTCCTCTGATCTCCACATGCACACCACGGTATGTATGCAACTCCTCCCACAGACGTGAGCACACACACATATGCGCAAAGGAAGCGTGCACCAAGAGTGATGGCACGTATCTAGACTAGCGTGGTTCAGACATGGGTTGTGTCCCTTGGTGCTGCGTATATCAGAAACTTGGCCCCCAGTGTAGTGGTATGGGGGGGGGGCAGGACCTTCAAAAGATGGGAACCTCCTCTGGAGATGGGACTCAGTGGCAGAGCACACGCTCAGCATGAACGGGGAGCCTGGGCTCAATTCCCAGCATCACGTGGTTATATTCCAGCTACATAGTGAACCTCAGCAAATAAATCCAAACAGCATGCAGCAGTTGGGGCACCAGAATCAAGTCACATGCCTGGAAGGAGTCTGAGCTTGTCTCAGCCCCACCTGGGAGTCCGCACCATCCTAACCCACGCTCCTCCCACACTCAGCCCAGCCCGGGAGTCCTCACCATCACAACCCACGCTCCTCCCACACTCAGTCCAGCCCAGGAGTCCTCACCATCACAACCCACGCCCCTCCCACACTCAGTCCAGCCCAGGAGTCCTCACCATCACAACCCACGCCCCTCCCACACTCAGCCCAGCCCAGGAGTCCTCACCATCCTAACCCATGCTCCTCCCACACTCAGCCCAGCCTGGGAGTCCTCACCATCACAAACCACTTTCCATGCGTCCTTCCAGCTACAATCACAGCTCATGGCTTCCCACACAGTCACCAAGTTTGGGCTACACCCTTCCACTGTCAGGGTCTCCACCCTCCAACAATGGGACCCTTCAGGAAGCAGGTCAGAGACTCCCAATGTAGGACAGCTTCAATCTCGGTGCCTCCTCCCTTAGGCTGAGCTCTGGCCCTGTCTCTCCTGTTAAAGGGTTCCTCACAGGAAAACACACGACATGCTTGCTTTCTTCTAGATCCAGCCACTTGGGCTACATGAGGAGCATCGGGGGCATCAGGGCTGCTTGCTGGCTGACAGCAGGGTTGGGGACAACCTGCGTTCCCGGGACACACTAGCAGAGCAGTCCCCGCAACAACATCAGC